ACACAGTTTGATTGGAAAAGACTGTGCAAAGTTTTTTGCCTTGTGCTGTCTCTGGCCGGTTTGCTGAACATTGTGCTGCTCCTCTGTTCACTCAGCAGTAGCACCTGTCAGAGATCCACTGGCACCGGATGCTCGTGTTAGCCTAAGGTGCGTTTAAAGACGGCTCGGAAAAATACGTTCCCTTATATTAACGGATAAAACGGCTGAAAAAAGTGCCGCGGACAGAGGGCACTGTAATGGGAAGGGAGGGGGACATGTCCCACTCGTACCCCGCGTGAATTACGCCCCTGGCCTCGAGAATATGATTACAAACAGTGTCAACCTGCCTACCACTCAAAGGGTTGCAACCGTCCCCAGGCTTCACTCTGGACATGCCAGTTGTAGAGTATTACCACCAGTTCTTATGACGATATCACATGTTAGTTATTTCCTATATTGTTTACTTATGAAATCTTTAAATTCAAAAGTTCTTCATCATTTGTAGATAATAGAAGAAAATGTAATGTCAGGAAACATTCATTTTCTGAGTTTTTTGTGTTTTGATGGGATTTTTTTTCCCACATGAAACGGTTTCACCGTGTGAGCTTGTAGCCAGTTTTGATTTCCAAAGGTCATCTTCTGAATCAGGAACTGCCTCAAGTCCAAGGCCCTTATCATGTTTACAAGTGTGAGATGACTGTCCCTTGGTGCAATAATATATTAGTTGGACTGTACATTATCTTCAGCATCAGCAATGATAAGATAGATGAAAAACTATATTAATTATTAGCTTCTAGGAACATGCTATCAATAAATCATTCATTGCACCACTGGTAGCCAGGATTCTGTCCAGCAACCATGTGGCTGAGACATTGAAACACTTGCAAGCTCAGATTCATTTTACATTCTGCGAAACTTTCTTAGCTGCCCTGTATGCTAGTTTATAAATCTCTCAATGGCATGGGGCCAAAATACATGTCCGATCTCATTCCTGTATGAACACCCAATAGGGCTCTGAGATCCTATCAGCTGGTAGAACCTCGGGTCAGAACCAAACATGGTGGAGATGCTTTTAACTACTGTGCTGCTCACATATGGAATCAGCTTCCCCAGGACCTCAGATGTTCCCCAACCCTAGTGCTGTTTACATCAGAACTTAAAACCCTCATGTACTCATCAGCCTTTACTTGGACTGTTTCTTATGCTGCATCGTCTCCACTCTGGGACGTAATTGCTCAACCTTAATTTTTAGCTCTAAATTATAATTTTATCTGTGAATATTTTTATTTGTGTTCTCGTGTTTGTTGTTGTGCCATTTAATGCTAATTTTAAAGGACATTGAATTGTCCCTGTGTTAGAAATGTGCTCTATAAATAAAGCTGCCTTGCCTCTTCTGCAGGTTGTGGATTTGAACTCAGGTTCCATCCATGTCCTCCTCTGGTAGTGGTCAAAGGGGCTGGTGGTGACAAATGTCTGGCAGCCTCACTTCTGTTTTTTAACTATTATTTGCACCAGTATGCAGTCTTTTTATACCACAATAAGTTTGTAAAGTGCCCTTTACAACTTAAGAATGAACAATTATGTATATTCAAATATATTATTCAACTTATATATATTTATATATGTTATTCAAATAAATACAATAAATCAAAATATTCAAACATAATGTTGAAATATAACAAACTCCAATAAGAAGAAGAAAAGAGAATAAAAGAAAAAAGAAGAAAGCACACACACACACACACACACACACACACATATATATATATAGACTCAACAAAAATATAAACGCAACACCTTTGTTTCTGCTCTGATTTTTCATGAGATGGACTTAAAGATCTAAAATTCATTCCAGATACACAATATTACCTGCAAATTCCATGGTGACCTTTTGTTGTGGGCAGCATAAGGTACACCTGTGCACTACTCATGATGTCAGATCAGCATCTTGATGTGGCACACCTGTGAGGTGGGATGGATTATCTCAACAAAGCAGAAGTGCTCACTATCACACATTTAGACTGATTTGTGAACAATGTTTGAGAGAAATGGTAATATTGTGTATCTGGAATGAATTTTAGATCTTTAAGTCCATCTCATGAAAAATTGGAGCAGAAACAAAGGTGTTGTGTTTATATTTTTGTTGTGTGTGTGTGTGTGTGTGTGTGTGTGTATATACATATACATATATACACCGTATTTTCCGGAGTATAAGTCACACCAGCCATAAAATGTATGATGAAGAAGAAAAAAACATACATAAGTCACATTTTGGGGGGAAGTTTAATAATTTTTCTTACAAAATCTGAGACCAAGAGTTTCACATTGCAAGACAAGTACCGGTAACAATAACAGAATAAATAACCAGGGCACAGCACCCCGCCACAGGCTGCAGCAGGTGATGGCGGTGTTTGAAACCCTCCCAGCGGGACAGGGGAGCTCATTTCTGGGTCGGAGCCGCCCGACGCCCGCAGCAGCTCGCCACAGGCTCCAGCAGGTGATGGTGGGGCAGAGGAGCTGAAACCTGGACCAGAGCCAGCCCACAGCAGCGTGCCACTGTTTCCAGCAGGTGATAGAGGGGCAGAGGAGCTTATTCCTGGTCCAGAGTCGGTCCGCAGCAGAGCGGTATACATAATTTGGTATATAAGTCGCAGGACCAGCCAGAATATGAAAAAAAGTGTGACTTATAGTCCGGAAAATACGGTGTGTGTGTGTGTGTGTGTGTGTGTGTGTGTGTGTGTGTGTGTGTGTGTGTGTGTGTGTGTGTGTATATATATAGATAGATAGATAGATAGATAGATAGATAGAGATATATAATGTATGTATGTATAAAATTCTCACCCCATCCTCCGCGGGTGAACTCATCCTTCCAAGCTCGGGTCCTCTACCAGAGGCCTGGTAGCTTGAGGGATCTGCAGTATCTTAGCTGTTCCTAGAGCTGCTATTTTCTGGACTGAGATGTTTTCCTGCGATCTGCTTTAGCCACTCCTCCAGCTTGGGGGTTACTGCTCCAGGCTTTCTCAAGTTCTTCTTTGAGGTCCTGGTACTTCTCTAGTTTCTCGTTTTCCTTTTTCCTGATGTTGCATCACTTGGTATCGCCACATCAAGCACAATGGCTGTCCTCTGTTGTTTGTCCTCCACAATGTCCGGTTGGTTCTCCATCTTCATGTTGTCAGTCTGGATCTGGAAGTCCCACAGGAGCTTGGCTCTCTTGTTCTCCACCACCTTAGCGAGTGTTACCCACTTCGACCATGGAGGCTTCCAATCCGTACTCCACACAGATGTTTCTGCACGATGCCGGACACTTGGTTGTTGTGTTCCATGGATGCTTTCCCTGCCAGCATCTTATAACTGCAGTTATGTGGTGGATTGTCTCAGGGGCCTCTCTGCATAGCCTACACCTTGGTTCTGGTCTGGTGTGGTAGATCCTGGCCTCTGTTGCTGAAGTGGGTCTTTGTCTTTTTTCAGCAGGACTGTTTTTGCAGCTTGCGTCAGCGTTAAAGGGAGGCACCATAAGGCCCGTGACTCAGTATAGGTGTTTCATAACAAAGAAATTTCAGCTTTAAATTTCTTGTAAAACACGGAGCAATAACCTCATTTCAATTCAGTTAGTGATCCTCAGGCCAGCTGTGGCTACAGCTCAGCCCATCATCATTACGAATATATCGCAATATAGTTAAACATCTTCTGTACCAATATTTATTGCGATAAATAACATTTTCTTCTGTTAATATCAAAATGACTGTTTATGAGGGGTCAAACAAGCTAAGTGCTGCTCTGCGTTGGTTGATTTTGGCTCCAGCAGTCGCCCTCCCTCGCGCAACCACCGTAACACTTTAAAACCCGGGGCAACTCGGATGTTACTCACCAAGCAAAATGTTTTCAGATTGTCACATCTAACGCTGTTCCTCCCAGCCGAGGATGTTTTCTCCTTTTAGATGGAAACTGTTACTGGTGTAGGCATCCCTTTTCTGATTGTATTTTTGTCTGCCAACTTTTATTGTCGTCTCTCATTCGTCAACGGAAATGTCAATCCATGTTTGGCATAAATTAGTCTTAAATGGCACGTGTTTTTTAGTTTTTGTTTCATTTTCGTCCACAAAACTTCATTCATCGTGACAAAAACGAACATGTTAGTCAGCAAAGTTAACACTTCTCTCTGCGAAGCTCGTTTCTATTAATAATTTTGCTGTTTTTGGTCCTGAATTCCTTTTTACTTTTGAAGCCTGTAAACAAACAGTTTGAGGATCATTAAAGAGCAAGTCACCCCCTACAAGAAACTTACTTCACTCCCACTTCATGTTTGAAAAATGCAACAAATGCTGTAGCTTGGCAGACCGAGAGGGCGGAGCCGTTAACAAATACACACACACACAGGCTCACAATGACATTATGACATCATAATGTACCAGATGACATCATAGCATACCTCTTAGCCAATAGCGGTGGCAGGTTTAAATTCAAATACAGTGCAGAATTTTTCCCTGACGACGGCGCAACACTGACAGTTTTAGGCAGAATATTTGAATTTTAACCAAGATGCACTGAACTGCCAAATTATTGACTACACGTGTCTGCAGCATGATTAGACACTCCTTTATATAGTTTATCAACAAAAAAAATTTGATTTGGGGGTGACTTGCTCTTTAAACAATATCTAAATGTTCAGACTCACAAGCACCCTGCATCTGCTTCCCAGTCCGCCTGCCGACAGTAACCACGGTCCAGTTCTCATGGTCGGACAGCTTTCAGTGCAAGATTTGACAAAGTCTGACAAGCTGTGATGGATTGATGATTAACCCTCTCACATTGTTAATGGGGTCAGATGGCCAAGTGCTTTTTTATTTAATTCTTTTAGGAATGCACCACTTCAACCTTGTTTAACCACTTCCTGTCCTGGAGGGGTCACCTGATAGGACAGAGGAAGCGTTAAACGAATATGGTTGTCAGGCTGTGCTGTAATGGGTTTCATATCAAAGTGTAAATGATGAAGTTTCTTCATTCTGACTTCCTCCTCAAAGAGCCTACGGTGGGACCTTCAAGCATCAATGCTACAGCTCTGTCTGCCTTTGAGATCCAGGTGTCATGGGAATGCGTCCACCTGCTCAACACTAATGGGATCATCAGAGGATATGAGGTGATGATCTGCATCAGGACATGTCCATCCACACACCAACTGCACGCATGCACATGCGCGCGCACACACACACACACACACACACGTTGCCAAGGCAACAAACTGACATGCATCTCTGCCTCCCTGATTGAAAGGCCGCGTAAACATTTTCAGGACATATTAAAACAAAAGTCTCAACTCGGCATGACTAAATGGAAATCAAAAGTTTGTAACAGACGCAACTCTTGATGAAATTTGAAAACAGTAACAGGACAGAAAATACTTTCATTTCAGTGTTCGCAGAAAAAATCTCATGCAATGAGGAACTTAGTTTCTGTGCTCATGTGCATTTAGAAAATGTATGTTATCACCTATGAGATGCTTGGAGCTGAGCAAATCCAGCCTGGGTTTTATTTTAGAGACGGATCATCTTCCACGTTTAGACGTGATCTCCATGAGCGTCCCTCCGTTAGAACTGAAGCTCAGATCACCAGAAACTGCACAGGGTCTGATTCAATTCAAGTTTATTTATATAGCGCCAAATCACCACAAGCGTCGTCTCACGGACCTTCACATAATAAACATTCCAGTACAGGTCAGTTCATTCAGCCAATCAGAAATAATGTTTCCTATATAAGGAACCCAGCAGGTGGCATCGAGTCACTGACTAGTGTCAGAGTCTTTACAGCAATCCTCATACTAAGCAAGCATGCAGCGACAGTGGAGAGGAAAACTCCCTTTTAACAGGAAGAAACCTCCAGAGAATCCTGGCTCAGTATAAGCAGCCATCCTCCACGCCTCACTGGGGATGGAGAAGACAGAGCACACACACACACACACACACACACACACACAAAACATATATACATAGTAATGGAGAGAGGGGTCGAGACTCGGTTTTTTAAGAAGCGGGTGGATTACAACGTTCTTAAAGTAAGCAGGGACCTGACCAGAGACCAGAGAAGCATTAATTATAGAGAGCACGCTGGGACCGATGGACTGAAAAGCACTTTTAAACAAAGATGAGGGTAAGATGTGGAGGGGGCATGCAGAGGTCTTCATAGAGTTAACTAGTTTGGTTAACTCAGGCAAAGAAACAGGAGCAAAGCTATCTAGGATGATGGGCCTGGTTGGAGTCGGGAGAGGCGGCGATAAGGCTGAAGGAGAGATGCTAGATCTAACCTTATTGACTTTGTCCACAAAGAAAGACAGAAAGTTCTCACAGTCTGCAACAGAGTGGATGGAGGCTGTAGGAGAGGCAGGAGAGACGATGCTGCTGATGGTGTTAAACAGCACCTTGGGGTTCCCTTTGCTCTGGGACACCAGGTTGGAGAAATAGGAAACCCTGGCGTCTCTGACTGCAGAGTTAAAGGATGTCAGAAGATCCTTTAGGTGCAGCAGATGGACGTGGTCCTGGTGAGAGAGGTGGGCGAGGAAGCGGAGAGGAGATGCGGCAGGTGCCGTGGAGGAGGATGGGACGTGGTCCTGTGGGTTCCGGAGGTCTTAGCGGTGGAGATGAGGATGGGCTGAGAGGTTCCTATGATGGAGCAACGAGGCATGCAAGGTAAAAATCCAAAGTTAACATGCACAATACCTGCGAGCAGGGTGAACTGAGTAAGAGTGGCTGGAGCTAACTAAACTGTAGCAATCATCCGGCGTCGAGTAGTGTCTCCATCCTCCCTGTGTGCCAGGACACCTGATTACTGATCCAGCGCAGCTGGTGTCCCCTCCGCTCCTCACCTGCGGGAACAAACCTCAAAGATGTTTTAATGAGGAGAGTTGCACTCACCTCGGCTCGTGACTCGTGACAAGATGAAAACTGCTCACAACGCACATTTCTGTCCGTCTCACAGAAGTTAAAGTCACAGCGCTGCCGCTGCTGATTATCTGTCTACTCCTCACAGACCAGCCTCAGCAGCTGAGTGAAGCTGGCTTCCACCCCCACCACAAAGCACAAACCACTCTAGTTACATGGATTTCTGCGGGAACTCGCAGCACTCAGCCGCTCAGTGATGGTACTACGAGTGACGACGTTCTTACTTTTAAATATATCCGTATTATTAAAGAGTAACTAAACCCCAAAATAACAGGTTTTTGCTAATTAACTGTATAATTGGGTCTTCACAAATGCAATCTTTCTGTTCCTGTGCAGTTTTTGACATATTTGTGTAAACTTGATTAAATCTAGAATCTAGGTCTAAAAACGTCTCAGTGCTGCCCCCCTGTGGCAGAACAGCGGCTACTGCACTTTAAACTTGTGATTGACTGGGGCTGGAACAATTTCACGTCACCGGTGCAGCCTCCTCCCACTCCCCCTCCCTCCCAGGAAGGAAATACCCCACACTCGGCCGTGCCACTCGGTGACCCTAGCTTTCTGATGGAGTGCAGTCCCTCTTTAACATCTGTGTGCTTCCTGAAAAAGCCATGCTGTTGGTCAGATGATGAAAATCATGACAGTTTTAACAGTATTTATCTGAACATGTTTAAGACAAATGTTTTAAAGTCAGTTGGTCAGGATTATGATTCCTAATAACGGGTCACATTCCTGCGTTTTAACCCAGCTGCATCTCAGTTTAAGCCCATCTAAATGTGAGTGAGCATCTCTGCTGATGCTCAAGAGCAGAACTGGGTTCTTTAGATTAATTCTGTGAAATCTCACAATGCTGCAGTGCTATGGAAAACCATTACTAACACTAAGATGGAGGTCTGAGAACTCAAATAATAAATTAAACAAACACGTTTCTTTATTTCTGTATAAATATTGTGTAGAATACTCCTTCTGCTCCCTAAGAGTCCATTCTGCTCAGGAAAGAAAATCATGCATGTATTTAATGAAAATCTACAGAATGATGCACAGATTTGCATCAGTAAATTATAATATACACCATTGTGATTATCAACCAAGTAAAAACATTGATGCCAGTCTGGGGATGATTGTTTTACAGAATCTGGGCCAGCTGAGATTTTGTCCCATAGCCATAAAATAAATGATGTTGGTATGAAACTCACTCCAGTAGCTCAGAGTCTGACCTGTACATGCATTGTTAGAGAATAATTGTTTAATGTTTGTAAGATTCAGAACAAAAATCTTAGTCGACTGAAACTGACTGAGACTAAAATGCATTTTCGTCATCGAGACTAAGACTAAAACTAAGATGCCCACCAAAAACAACACTGCATCCAGACCTAATCCACTGGACCCTGCTCGTCCCCCCCCGTGATGCTTCTGCTGCATCCATGATGTGTCTGGCTGCTCTCTTGGCCTGGCTGAGCTGTGGTTGTGTTGTTCCAGGACTTCGGTGGAATGACAGTGAAGCTGATTCTGATTCTGAAATATAATATAAAAACTTACATGGAAGGGTGAAAACGGTTTCATTTGTGTTTATAGCTTTATTCCCTGTTGTATCTTTTATGAAGTTTTACATATGTTGTGTTTTATTTATACATGTTTTCATTCTCTCAGCATTGTCTTTTTATTACTGAGGAATAAACACAACCTGTGATCGCACAGATCTTGTTTTTCAGGACTGGTTTATGGTCGGTCAGTCCTTTGACCTACTGATAGAGCCCAGATAAATAACGTTTAGTGTTGCAGGCTGATAAAACTGGTTCAAGCTCATATCACATTTATTGGTTTTGATCTCTGAGCAAACAGATCATTTTATTAGCACTATTAAATCTGATATCAACACGATCAACAGACGGATTACTTGTTGCTAGTGTTAAGATCATCACTTCTATCTTCCTGTTAGTTGACCTCAGGCAGCCATTGCTGGAGCAAACAAAGACAACCGTTAAATCTAAAGCCGTTGTGTGTTGTGTGTCTTCAGATCCGGTACTGGCGGCAGCATGAGATAGAGGCTGCAGCGGACAGAGTGAGAACTTCTGGACTGGAACTGACAGCCAGGGTATCAGGCCTTCGGCCCAGCACTCGGTACCACGTCGCTGTGCTGGCTTATAACAGCGCTGGGACTGGGCCACCATCACCTCGCATCTTCGTCACCACCAGGAAACCACGTACGGCATGTAGTAACTCAATGAAAAGGCTCTCCTCTCACAGACACCACAGACGCTTTCATGTTTTTTTTCTAAGACTTGTAGTTCCAGAAATACCAACAAGGTCTTTCAGTTGGATAAAAGATAAAAATATCCCAACCAAAGATTTAAAGATTAAAGTCCCATTAGTAGTCACACACTGGTGAAGTTTGTTCTCCGCATTTGAGCCAACAACCTGGGGGAGCGGTGAGCTGCAGACGCGGCCGTGCTCGGGAACCATTTGGTGGTTTAAATCTTCAGTCCAACAGGCGTAGGGTCGGAAAGGGTGATGTCATGTGTGATGAGATGAGTCTGGGAAGGAGTATCTGAAAACAGCTCTGGAAATGAGTGGATTAGGTCCTGTAATTCCACCTGCTGCGAAGGAGAGAGATGTTCCAAGCATTTAGAAAGGTTTTTAAGGGTTTCAGAGTTGTACAGACGAGGCGTAGCGGGAGGACCCATTAGCAGTGGCAGGAGAAGGTACTGTAAGGCCTTCAGGCGGTGGAGAAATTACAGCAGAGGCTACAACACCAGACTGAGAGGGGATTGACTCTCTATTTCGAAATAACTTGAGTCTGTTGATGTGGCACACTTTGGTCTTCCTACGCATCAAAGGGGTCTTTATTACATAATTTCGTTCATCCAATTTGGTCACGACTTCGAAGGGACCCTCACACCTTGGAGACAACGAGGAACCAGCAGTCAGATTCAGAAGTAGAACTTGGTCTCCCACCTGTACAACACGGGAGCTAGACCTTTTGTCAAAACAAACTTTCATCGAGGCCTTTGTAGTTCTAAGGTGGTGCTGAGCTAACTGATTAGCTTCATTGAGTCTTTTTTGGAAGGAGCTTACATAGGACAGAAGACTAGACGCAACAGAAGGAACAGGCCAGAGAAATGTCGCCTTTAAAGTCTTCAAGGGGCCCCTAGGGGCGTGACTGAACACAAGCTGATGTGGGCTGAAATCGGTGGAATCCTGCACTGCATCCCTAGCTGCAAACAGAACAAACGGAAGACCTTCTTCCCACAAACGACCAGAGGAAAAATAATGTTTCTTGAGCATGGTCTTTAGAGTTTGATGCCACCTCTCGATGACACCCTGGCTTTTGGGATGATAACTAGAGGAAGTGACATGTTTATGACGATGTGGTCAAAGGGGGGTCAAAACCACAGGGATTGGATGTAACGGAACCGGTTGAATTGTTTGATTTGGGTTTCCTACAATCTGACAAGTAGCACAGCTACGGCAAAACTCAGAAACATGTCGTTTCAAACCCGGCCAGAAGAAGTGGCGCAAGATGGCAAGGTATGTCTTATTTATTTCTAGATGACCTGCCCACTCGCTCTCATGAGCCAAGGAGAGAATAGAATTCCGAAAATTTTCAGGGACCACAATCTGTTTGACTCGGGCCCAGTCAGAGCCTTTTGCCGAGGCCGGAGCCCAGCGGCAAAACAAAATGTCACCCTCAATCACATAAGAGGGCTGCCCCTCAGGGGACGTCGGAGCAACACCAACCAATGCAAAGTAAGGTTCCAGAGATTCATCTGCTTTCTACGCATCAGCCAATGTCTTACAAGAGATAGGTACGTCTGCTAGAGGGCCTCTAGAGGACAGATCAGGCGTTTGTACAGCTGGACCTGGTCGGGTGACATCATCAGATAACAGCGGGAATAACGCTGAATCACTAAGTGAGATTTCTGGGTTTTTCTTAAGCTGAGCACGGTTTAGGACACAAGCAGGCAATAAATCTGATCCAGCACAGATTTCAGGAGGAGAGATGAGCTCAGGAGGGGGTAACACTAATCCACCCGCAGCATCGTTTCCTAATATCAGGTCTACTCCTTGAGTTGGCAATTCATCTAAAATGGCTACCTTTAGGTCACCAGTAACCAAAGGACAAGTTAAGTGAATATGATGAACCTCCGCCGGAACAGAACCCATTTCTATGCCCTGTAGTAGAATGGCATAACCAGCATGGCTAGTCGCCGAGAAGGGCAACACACCACGTTTTATTAGAGTCTAAGAAGCTCCCGTGTTCCGTAGAATTACCACTTCCTTGTTGACTTTACTATTTTCCAGTGAAACAATCCCAGAGGATAAAAAGGGTTTAAAACTGGCATGAGGCACTTCACACTTCTCCCCATTCTTTATTTCCTCAGTACAGGCAGCTATTGGTTTAGCTGGAGGAGAGTTTCCACTCCTCCGGGTTTTCTGCTGGAGCAGAGGACAGTCACGGATGAAATGTCCTTCAGTATGACAATCAAAACACTCGGGAGGTACTTCATAATCAGAGTTTTTAGCCGAAGGTCTCACACGTCAAACTGAGTCAAGTCTTGGCTCTCGGGATCGATGAGTCAAGGCAAACTTATTGGCTAATAAGGCAGCGAAAGAAAGAGAGGAGCCTTTTTGTTCATTTAGATATAACAGTAGCCTCTCAGGCACAGGTCTTTTAAATTCCTCCACCAGAATTAGCTCTTTTAAGTCAGCGAAAGAGTTTACTCCGGAAGCTGAACACCACTTCTCGAAGGGAACAGATTTGAGGTGAGCATATTCAATATATGACTGGTTGGGCCTAGGCTTATCTAGTCGGAAACGCTGATGATAGGCCTCAGGAACAAGTTCATAAGCATTCAAAACTGCTGCTTTCACACACTCGTAACTAGCGCTGTCCGTTAGAGACAGAGTCGAAATAACCTGAAGGGCCTTACCTGAGAGCTTGCACTGCAGAAGCAACGACCACACCTCACGAGGCCACTGCAGAGTCACCACAAGCCGCTCGAAAGCAAAGAAAAACCCATCCACTTCAGTTTCTCTAAACGATGGAAGGAGGGAGACACACTTGCTGACGTCAAAGCCAGGCAGTAACGGCAAGACACCTGGAGGTGATGGTGAGGCGTCTCGGTGCAGGGCACGGGGAGGCGATCACGAGACCGGAAGACGGTCGGCAGCCGTACGGCTCGAGGAAGCGGTAGCGTCCAGAGTCCTCATCTGTATTTCGAGTTCACGGAGACGAACCTCCGTGTCCATACGTTTCAGTTCAATCTCATGCTGGAGATTTCGCTCGTGAGTCTTTTCTTCAGCTTCGACCTTAAGAAGTGCTAACCGTAGCTGTAAACCGGCTCCTGATAGCAGGGAGCGAGGAGGGCTAGCTCCTGATGAAGCTACATCAGACGAAGAGCCACCAGCAGAGTCCTTTCCGGGAGAAGGCAGAGCTGTGGCGAGGGTCTCCTTTCTATCGTCGAGCCGGTCCTCTTCATCGCCGGAGGGCGCCGGAGATGCACCTGGAGTGGAAGGAGGAGAAAGGATCTTCTGTGTCTCTAGGTAATCTGTGATGAGCTGGCGTAGTGCACCCTTGGTTAGCTGCTTAGGCAGGAGTAAACTGAAGTGGGAGGCAACCTGCTGCAGATCGGCTTTGCGGCAACTCTCCAGCAGCCGGCGCGAAGGAGCCGCCACAAACGCAGGCAAGTTTAAGGATACCATGCTCCAACTCTAAAGGACAAAACACAAAGTTAATATTTTTACACACTCCTAAAACGGAATAAAATAGGAATAAATCCCGGACGAGCCCCCACGTTATTACGTCCCTCAGCTCCCTAGGAGAGATGTGGTAGGTGAGGGATCAATAAAGGTGGAGTGTGGGTGAAATAATAACAGAGTGTAGTGTCCAGCAAAGGATTTTATTAAACAAGCAAAAAGGCGGATATTCACAAAAGGAAAAAAAGAGTAACAAAAAGCGCTGAGCCAAAAAGGGCTGGGAAAGGGGGTCTAACCGAAATACAATAATTACTAACTCCATGCTGATGGAGTTAGTCCCCGCATCCCTGCTTAACAGGGCGTTAAGCAGGGACGCGGGGAAAAGTCCACAATCAAAGTCAAAATAGCCATTCCTAGTTCGGGGTTACCAGAGAGTCAAATCTAATTCCAAATACCGAAGCAAATACCTAAAGCCGAGACTAACCAAAACACGCGAGGAGAAGAGAGCAGCAAAAACTCTTCTGAGCCTTCACTACCCTGGACCTTCTCAACAAACTGTATCCCAGTTGAATGTGCCTGGACAACTTCACCAGGGAGGTGTCCAAGAGACATCCTGACCAGATGCCCAAGCAACCTCAACTGGCTCCTCTCAATGGCCCAAGTGGCTGGGGAAACGAAGTCTGCTTAGGCCAGGGGTCGGCAACCTTTTCCCATCAAAGAGCCATTATTACCCGTTTCCTACAGTAAAGAAAACACTGGGAGCCACAGCACCCTCTTGCACTTGGGTCCACACTAAGACAAAGAGCTTGACAGCAACCAATACCGGTCGCTCAACATTTTTCAACAGAAGATAATTAATAAAACTATTTGTATAAAATTGATCCAGAAGTTGTAGCCTGTCTGTGCCAACAGTATGTTGTTATTATTCACCCTGTTAGTGGTTTTAATGTTGAGCAGGTTCTGCTTTTAGGAGCGTCACACACGTCTGCTTTTAAAACATGTTGAAACTGTTCAGAATACAAATCCAGGACCTGTCTTGTGGGATTGTTATAAGAAGACAAAACAGTTAAAGGGCAGGGTTCACATTTCCCGCATTTGACGGAGAAACCTCCAGGCTGTCGGTGGTTTGAATGACCCCGACGCAGGCAGATGGCTGACATTTTAATGGTAACGCACATGGCGGAGGTAGCTAACTCAGTCAGGAAAAGACTCCCATCAGAACATCTGAGCTGGACTCTGAGCTCAGCGCAGCTCGCTGTCAGCGCGTATGTGAGGTGGACAGTACGCTGAAGATGTGGAGAGGGGCTTGGAGCTCGTCGGTCACCGGCAGCAGAACCAGAACCATGCAGGAAGGTTCCTCCCACTGAAGCGAGTGTTTTCCTAACCCTGTCTCTCAGAGAGACTTGTCACTTAGAAAATGTTCCTGATGACGGAACTTTGGCTGAATAGCGCTTGTTCCTGTCTCCAACGTAGCGACGCATCCATGAGCCTGTCTGAGGAAAAGTCCAGAGGCTCATATCCTCTTCAGCTCAGGAAGCTCCTACAGAGACGTCTGATTACACACAAGCAGGTGACCTGTATAAAGATGGAACCAGACACTGGTTCTACACCAGTTCATCGTGACACAGCTTTAGGAGTCATGTTTCTGTTTCTGTCACATTTATTACTACAATCCTAAAACAGCTTCCTTAGTCACTTCAGACTGAAACAACTCTTCTTCTTTTCTAACATGTTACTAACATCTTTCATGTGTACGTCTGTTTTCTGATTGAACTGGTCTCTGGTACTGGTCTGATCCATGTTAACCTCTTTTGGGCAGAGACAGGTTCTGCCTTTTTTCTGGGAAACGAATGGAAGGGAGAGTTGGGCACAGCTGCAAAACCACTTTTCATTAAAAATCTGTTTTCCCCCTTTAGCTCCTAATCGTCCTCCCGGTAATGTGTCATGGAAGACTGAAGGCTCTGTTGTGGTGATGAGGTGGGATCCGGTGGTGGCGATGCACAATGAGTCCGCTGTGTTGGGCTATAAAGTGAGTGACCTGAACACTTTCCATGTTGGTGTGCAGAGGGAAATTGCTGTTACCTCCAGGAATACTCCTGAAGCAGCTTTAGGTCTTTCTATAGCACAAAAGAATGGACCTGTTAGCAGTGTTCGTCTGTACCGAGCAGTGTATGCTTCAGTAGACTCCACCTGTGATTTTTTTCACCCTCGTGTGTCCTTATGCACACTATAGCTAAATCATAGCTAAAGGTAACAGCTTCTGCAGGAGGACACCATCACATCCAAATACTCCCTTCATAACAGCTAAAGTATAAAAACTAGAGATTCCTGTAAAACCATTTATCTTTGGTGCTGAGACGTGTCTTTAAGTTCTGATCTGCTGTGTTCTGTGTGTCAGGTTCTGTACAAACATAACCACGAGACAGCACTGAAGTTAGTGGACAAGACAAAGTCATCAGTGACCCTACCATTACCAAACGACAGCGGGTATGTTGTCTTGGAAATTCGCTCTTGGGGTGAAGGAGGAGATGGACCAGCACATGAGATCATAGTCTCCCAGGACCCAGGTAAAACAGGAAGGAGAAAAAAGGGAACATTTCCTTTTGAGGTTGTCCCTCTTTTCCAAGTAGTAGGAACCGGTTCCGGTCAGTTACATCCAAGTGTCATGTTTAGGTGCAAGGATCCAGATGCAGGTGTGTGCACACCAGTGTTGGGAACATTACTTTAAAAAGTAATTAGTTACAGTTACTGATTACTTTGTCAAAAAAGTAACTCAGTTACTAACTGAGTTATGAGATTATAAAAGTAACTAATTACCAAGAAAAATAACTACTTAGTTACTTTTTTCATTAAAGAATGCTAGAAAATGGGTTCCACTCTTAATTGAACTTAATTTTCTATAAATGAATTGTACATTTCAACAGTGAAATATAAATGAGTAATGACTGGAACATAATAAAATGTATGTCCAAATGTTTTTATAAACCTCAATAATTTAAACAAATACACACTTAACAGGAGGAACTACTAGCAGGAACATTACACTAATCTAGACTATTAAAAGGTCACTGTGTGATATTTAACAAGACCCCAGTCAGCTAAAATTTAAAATTACAAATAGAAACACCTGTAAAGGTTCCCGAGCCTTTAAATGGTCTCTCGGTCTAGTTAAATTACAGAAATAAATGTAATTTTGCACAGTATTTTAATTTTTCCAGCTTCACATAATTGTGTGTTTTAGTAGCATTTCTGTTGCTGCTAATCTAGTAACGGTTAAATAAATAAATAAAATCCTTTAAAATGACACTAGAAGAGGCACAAATCTGATGGAGGACTTACATTTACTAACTTGGGTCAGACCCAACCACAGAAGAGCTGAAGCTGGGTGGGAAACACTGATAGCACTGGTAGCTCCTGATCAGCTGATGACATTTTCAACACACCGCGCTGCTTAATGCACGCTTTTCCTTATCAGTAACAGAAACGACGTTTTGATCAAAGAAGACGGTAATTAATTAGTTTGCTCTAAACTGAACAACATATTTTTTTAGTAAAGTGGTTATTTTAAACTGCGTTATTTCCATCACTGCTCTGTTGGGTCTACATCATGCAGCGACAGTGAGAACACTGAGGGTCTCCGCCCACCCGGCCAGTCATCATCGTGTTTGTAAGTGCGTTACCGACACAAGCACATAGTAACGCACAACCTTCCGTCCCCAGTAACGGTAACGGCGGTGCAACAGTGGGAAAAGTGATTAATTAGACTATTCCGTTACATAAAAAGAACGCCGTTATTTTAAACGTCGTTTCTCCCAACACTGGTGCACACCAGGAGGCTGCTGTAGAGATGGCAAAAGTACCGACGTTCTTAACTTAAGTAGAAGTACAGATACCTGTGTAAAAAACTACTCTGGTAAAAGTGAAAGTACTGAGCGAATTTATTTACTTAAGTAAAAGTACAAAATACAGGCTCTAAAAAGTACTTAAGTACGAAATGTAAAAAAATTAAACCTTAATTAACAGAAAAAAAGCTACTGAGATGTTTATTTCAACAACACAACAATAATTCCTGGAGATATGATGATATTAATGTTATTGCTATCACCACATATGGGAGCATTTAACTGAAATTGTTTTTTCGGCAACTTGACTTAAAACATTGTGATCCTGGAATCAAGGTCACTTCAAATCTACAAGTATTACTTCCTTTTGAGAGGAATTGACTGTTTGAGACTAAATAAACTTTTTATTGAGCTTCATCAGAAGCTGGTTTCAACCATCGACATACATATATGGACAATGGGTTTCCATAGGCTCCAACAACACGTTTCTGAGGCCAAATGGGAGGTGGCCACCACCGCCATTTTGACCGTGTCACAGGTTCCGTCAAGCCCAGACAATTTCACAAAAGGGAAGAGAGGTGGAGCTGAGGGTGGAGCTGTAAGGCTGGGATCAACTGACGACACCCGGTCGAACTAGCTACAAGCTAACCTGAAGCTAACCCAAAGCTAACGGGGAGGTGGGAGCTAAGCTAACGGAGGTAGCAACCTAGCTACAACCGGAGTTAACTGTGCACAACACCAGAGCTTCTGAGTCAGAGATACGCCGGGCTGACCGCTGGGTAAAACCGGGTGGAACACAGAGGTCTCTGAGAGCTCCACAAGCCGGCAGCTGCACAGCAGACAAGCGCCGCTGCGATCTGAGATGCGCAGAGCTGCCGCTGGAGAGAACCGGGTGGAAAAGTTTCCATCCCAGAGCTCCACAAGCCGGCAGCCCACGCAGGAGACAGAAGCCGTGATCAGACAGAGATGCAGGGAGGGGAGAAACGGGTGGAACACAGAGGTCTCCTGAGAGCTTCACAAGCCGATAGTGGGAACCCAGCTCAACCAACATTTTATATTTCAACCCATTTTCTAAAGTGCAGCATTATGTTAAATGCACTGGGTTTTACCCTATTACATTTAAATATCATGGTTAAACAGTTGACTCCTGCTGAGACAGCCTTTCTGAAAGAATATGTGAAGACACATTGTGCCCAGGGGCCCCTGCAATGATAATCCAGCCCTGACTCTACTGTAGTAGCCCCACTTTCGGTCCACTCTGCTCCGGACCTCCCGTCTCCATTTCTTTCTCCTGTTCTTTGATCTAATAAAACTGCTCTTCAGACTTTCAATAACAAAGAAATATTTGCAATTTTAGCACACACTCATCAGACTATAATAAGCGTTCAAACTCTAATAAGAATTTTTTAAAGACTTGGGCTGTGAAGGAGAGGGAGTCATCGAGCCAGACACCAAGGTATTTATATGTGTGGACCGACTCTATGACATTTCCCTCAAGAGTGGTCACTGAGGGCATCCTAAGGGGTCGTTTTTAGAGTTAGAGAACAACATTAGCTTAGTCTTGTCTGCATTGAGGACCAATTTTAACTGCAGAAGTGTTTGTTGGACCTCATTAAAAGCTTTCTGTAAGAATTTAACAGCTTTAGTGGGGGGTGTTCCAAAGCAGTAAATGGTTGTGTCATCGGTGTAAAAGTGCAAATTAGCATCCGACACATTTTGTCCTATGTCATTAATATACATAATGAACAAGAGGAGTCCCAAGACTGAACCCTGTGGTACTCCCTTGTGGACACTCAAAAAATCAGAGGACAACCCATCACATTTAGCACATGTTTAGAGTTTTGTCCTTCAAAGTAGTCTGTGAACCATGAGATATCATGTTCAGACAATCCCAAAAAAAAGCTCTTGTTTTAAAACCTCATGGTCTACAGGGTCAAAGGCCTTTGACAGATCAATAAAGAGTGAGGCACAGTACTGCTTTTTATCCAGAGCAACAAGTATGCCATTGATGTCCTTTGTAGCTGCAGTGATGGTGCTGAGCTTTTATCTGAAACCTGACTGCAGACTTGAGAGAAGGTCATTTGAATATAAGAAGTCTTTCTATTAGTCACTTACTAGGGTCTCTAGAAGGTTTACCAGGACACACAGGTTGGCTTTTGGTCTGTAATTAGTTAATAGAGCTCGGTCACCACCGTTTAGTAAAGGAGACACAAAAACGGACAAACTGATGGCATTTGTTTGTTTTTGATAGAGAGGTTAAAAAGAGGCTCTGCTATGAAATCAGTAGACATTTTCAAAAAAAATACGGTTATATCATGTCTGGACCAGTGGGTTTTCTGGGATCCCGAGTTCTAATAATGTTATGTACTTGCTCTACAGTAAACAGAACAAAGTTAAAAGAGGCATCAGGGTCATTTGGGATTCGATGCAGAGGGACAGCAGGGGGTTGTTCCAGTAGAAGTAGAAGATGAAACAGATGAGATAAATGCTTGTTAAAACAGTTTAAAACCTCACTTGGATCATAAACTGGGACAGAGTTGTTTAGGACAGAATTTGGAAGAGCATGAGAAGTTAAGCTGACAGATAAAGACTTCATCACTTTCCTAAATTTCTGTGGATTATTTAGATTCTCAGTTGTGACAGAAAATAGTCTGATTTGGCCTTTGTGATGAGAATTGTACATTTATTTCTTAGTTGCCTAAAGATAGACCAATCAGATGGCAGATTTCCTTTTCTGGCTTTGGCTCATGCCACATTATGCATAATGGATAATAATTTGCAGTTCTGGGGGAACCGGGGATTTTCTCATCCGTTGATGCTGAGTTTCCTGAAGGGGGCATGCTTATTTACAGTTTCCATTAAAGCCTTCTTGAAGAATGCTGATGCTAGCTTGACATCTGGTAACAAATCTATTTGCCTCCAATTAACCAAAGACAAATCCTTATGATAAGCTTGTTCACTGAATTGTTTAAAATTTCTCTTGTAAGTCATACGTGATTTAAATTTCGGCATTTTAGAATTCCTGCAAGTGGCAACAACACAATGATCGCTCAAGTCATTGCAGAAAATGCCTAAAAATGAGAATTTATGAGGGACATTTGTTAAAAATGAAGTCAAGCAAGGTGGACTTACAAGGACTCTTAAGATTGGGTCTTGTGGGTTGGTTGACCAACTGGCTAAGATTTATGGAGTCACAGAGGCTTTTGAATTAATCTGAAATGGCATTTTGCCAGTCCCAGTTGAAGTCACCAGCCAACATATAGCTCATTAGAGATGCTTTAAGGATGATAATGCCTCCTTGGTAATAAGCTGCACACGTTCAGATGAACATGTTTGAGACAAAACAATTGTTTGAAATCAGCAGGAGTCTGTGTGCATTGCAGCTCAGCTCCAGGGTTTGGTTGCACATTTCCAGATAACAGTGAAGGTAAGACAATCATTATTTCACTTGACATTTTGGGGTAGTGATACTGTATGTTGAATCCATGCGGTGAGTTTCGTTTAGTGAGAGAGTAAGATTGTGTAAAGTAAGAAAAGGTTTGAGGTTGGATTCTTCTCCAAGCAGGTTTGATAACAAGTCAAAGATCTGAGTAAAGTGAGTTGGTGTAGTTTCACTATCCCCAGCTAAATTAGGATTAGTGCCTCAACAATAAGTATCCCTCATTCTGAGCATATTATTCAACATGGTCCCGAGTCCAAAACACCCAGAAAAAACAATGAGGCTATGAAAAACATAATGTTCATCTTACAAAGCATAAAGTCAGCAGAATAATGTTGTTGAGCAGTAAATGCACAGGAATATAGGTTACATGAAGGTGTTGAAGGTTCTGTCAGATTCTGGGTGCTGCTTCAGGTTTTATGTCCTCTCGAGCCAAACAATCTTCAATATCCTACAAAACATCAACTCAGCAAGTAATCCAGGCACAGGAAGGCGTTGAAGGCTGTCCCCAGGAGGTGTTGCATTTAGCACCTACCTGACAACAAGATAAGCCATGCAGTCCAAGCTCCAGGTACCGAAAACAGGCCTGGCCCAGAAAATTAAAGCAGAACGAGGTTTTTTTGTGACTGTAGCAGGGCCAAGTAATGGACGCCACAGGAGAGCCAGGATCCAAGCAGGCACAACAAACACAAGCCAGCTTGACTGGACTAGCAATCCAGTAGAGCCCTGCACGGGCCTAAAATCTGAGCCCGTGTCCGGCCCGGCCCGAGGGGGTGGAGCCCCAGCCCGACCCGGCCCGAAAAGGTTTTCAGAATTTTCTGGCCCGACCCGAGCCTGACTTTTTTTTAACCAACTAATTGAAAACAAAGTGCGTCGATCCTGACCAATGTGTTAAAAGTCGTGCAGGATCCGATCAATTTGTTTTTCCCTCGTTTACCGTCGCGGAGATAACGGCGCAGGCTCTGGTGTTAATCAAGTTAAATTTGATCTCTTTGCAACAATTTTCACGAGAAAACAGAACAGTTAAAAGCAGGGCTTGTGTTGTGTTGACCGGACAGTTCCCGTATTTGACCGTTTATTTTGACGGAGAAAGAATAGAAAGAATTAACCCGACGCATGCAGACGAACTGGCACTTTATTCTACACACATCGCAGATGTAACTAAATCACCCAAGAAAAGATTCCCATCTGAACATCTTAGCTGCTCAGCGCAGCTCGCTGTCAGCGCATATGTGCACAGCGAGCTGAAGTTGTGGAGAGGGGCTTGGAGCGCGTCGCAGAACCAGGACCATGCAGGAAGATTCCTCCCACTGAAGCGAGTGTTTTCCAAACCCGGTCTCTCAGAGAGACTTGTCACTTAGAAAATGTTCCCTGATGATGAAACTTTGGCTGAATGGTGCTTGTTCCTGTCTCCAATGTGGCGACACATCCAGGAGCCGTCTGAGGAGAAGCCCAGAATCTCACATCCTCTTCAGCTCAGAAGCGCCTATGATTACGCACAAGCGTGACGCGTCAACCCGGTCTCACAGTAAGACTGGGTTGGACCTGTTCAGGTTTACGCAGACAATCTTTACATAGAATTGACTTACAGATATAAAATTAATTCAGTAAAATATAAAGCATTTTATTTAAATGTCCATTCGTTATTTTACAAGCACAGAGAGCCGCATCAGATGGATGGAAGAGCCGCGGGTAGCCGACCCCTGCAGCCTATAAAATGACATGTTTTCTCCAGGACCAGAGAGGATGCAAACTCAATACATCTCTTTTATTGTGAGGTAATAATTTCTCCGAGTTTTGCGGTCGCGGGCGGGAGTAGATATGCACGGTGCGGGCGGGAGTGTAACACACGTTGCGGTTGCAGGCGGTAATTGTCAGAAAATCAGCGGGAGCGGGCAGGAGCGGGATGAAGAAAACAGTCTTGCACAGGGCTCTACTGCTGCGTTTGTGTTTCCGTTTTTTTTATGAATTCAATTAAAAATAAAGGCGCCCGGCCTGTGTCCGAGGTGATTACACAGTTGTTGGCCCGAAGCCCGGCCCGAGGGCCTAGGGCTTCAGTGCAGGGCTCTACAATCCAGTCCAAAGATGATGGAAAGCCCAGTTCAGGCTGTCAGAAACAGATAGAGCCAGACAGAGACCAGCAGAATTCCAGAACAAGGCCAGACAGGAACCAGCAGGACCACAGCCCAAAATGGTGAAAGGCTCTTACCAGGGCCAGTCAAGGTCCTAGCCACAGACAAAGGAAGGCCAGGTCAAGGCGAGAAGGATCCAGGGTGAGGATGGTCAAAGTTTGTGGGTTGCTGTAGTTTGTGAGAAGTCTGGGATCAGCCACTCCATCCGGCAAGCTCTTCTTTAGGAATGTGGTCAAACAGGATCTATCTCAGACTGCAGGTTGCATTGTCTTCTCAGCAAGGCTTGAAGTTGAGGAATAATCCAGGACCTTCCATCAAATGCAAATACAAAAACGTAAGACAGTCATATAGCCTGGATCTGACGTAAACTATTCTGACAAACTAGGGAAAATACCAGTATATATCGTATATCCCAAGCTTTGAAGAAGTGTTAGTTTTTCCAGTTGTACCGTATCTTTATTTAACCAGATGACTTTAATGTTTATTAATCTCTCTTTTTTTCTCCAAAAAATATTTTATGTTCAATGGTTCTCATGACTAGGCTAACATCTCTCGCTAGCGCCACAATCATACCTGAAAAACATTTATATGTAACGCAGAGATTAATAGTATGCTACTTATTGTTTGCTATATTTCAGTCTGGCTAGTATGTAGCATTGTTATAATAAATTCATGGTTACCACTTCATTCTATTTAACTTAGCCATGTTGAATTAAATGTATTTACATGAGCAGCTCTGTTCAAATGAACATGTCAGTGTCCAGTTCTCACCGCTTCTTGCTGTGGTCTGTGCATCTAAGCAAAAAACAGCATGAAAAGTTGGGGCTCTGCCCTCTGAGCACATACACAGTGTTGGAACTGAATTCATGAAGTTTTACTCATTCCCGTTATTATTTTCTGCTGTCGGACTGTAGAACAAGTATGAAATGCAGAGTGGAACGTGGCCCGGTAACTGGTTACCCGCCGTCATGCTCCCTATGGCTCCACTAAAACCAAAGACATGTGATGACACACCCACAGCGCTCCTCTGTCACCCAGAGACAAACCTCTCACTGGATATACTGCAGTACAGTAACTCTTGAACTGTTACTAGTGTTGGCTCTTCTTTGGAGAAATACATCTTTACTTGGTTGTGAAAATGGGTAAATTCAGCAACAAAGACAGATGGCAACACTGGGAAGCAGAACTTGAGGATGAACGTGTTTATTCATCCACAAGGAGGGGAAATGGTTTTCGATGACAAATCAAACCTTCCAGGACATTTTACCTTTTTCCCATTGTCCATGTGTTTTCCATGACTAGAAAATGACCCATACGCTTCAACAATACTCAAAGAAACAGACACATTTTGTTGTGCAGATTTATCCAGATCAACATTTTGACCATTGATCACTTTCAGGTTTTAATAAACTGCAAATATTTTCATCAACTATTTTAAAAACAAACATTTGAAATAAATTCTAATAAAGGGGAGTGTTCAAAGGACATCCTCCCCCCCCCAGCATGTTAAGTTAGGTTCCTGATGACAAATTTATTGAAGATACTGTCTATTAAGTTTAGGTCTAGACCGCTTTATGCAGATAAAGTTGGCCGTCCAGTCGTTGCAGCCACAAACACCCGCACGGGTACAGCCACTCCACATGTTGTCCAGACAAAACTAATGGTCTCTTGTTTAATAAGTTAGAAAAAAGAATGTAAAACAAGTTTTACGATACATTCTAAATGACATTGTGTTTGTTTAGTGTGAGACCTCGTTTGTTTAGGACATCTCAACAAGACAACAAGACTATTGTCGCACTTTGCCTGAAAAGTGCTTTATAAATAAAATAAATAAAGAAACATGTCAACAAGACTATTGAATTTTAGTTTTTCTTCTGGGTAGTGTGTTTGTTATTTTCCTGCTTCACCCCCCTCTCTCTCTGTGTTTTAAGGAACTGCAATGATGGTGCAGAAGGATGCCTCCTCCCATCTGTCCCCTCTCTACCTACATACTGGATTGGTTCTGTTTTTTCGTGTGTTGCTGTCTGACCTGTGATCCCGTTCAGCCGGGGGACTTGTTACTGGCTCTGTGTTGAGCAGGAGGAGCAACTCATCTGTAAATCAACATTCTTGAACTAAAAAAGGTGTCTGCGTCAGATGAAATCATGCCTTAGATTTCATGATGGACTGATGATGCAACACAGCATCCTTCAAACTTCTGATGGACCAGATTCATAGTAGTTAGTTAACAAGTGTACATCCCCCCCCCCAATGATAACCATCTTAAAGTTTAAGGACAGAACATGAAAGGTTTTGTCAGGTCTTCAGCTAGGTGCAACACAGTGGGCTCTCCTTTACATGTGATATAGGTAGCAGATTATTGGGGTCCTGGCTGCATGGCAGGGTTTTTGGCACCAGCAAAACCAATACGTAGTCAGGTTCCTGCTTTAAGAACGCTGTAATCCACCCGCTTCTTAAAAAAACGAGTCTCGACCCCTCTCTCCATAGCAGCTTCAGACCCGTCTCTAAACTTCCGTTCATCTCCAAGATCTTGGAAAAGGTTGTGGCTAAACAACTCACAGCTGCTCTTGATGAACATAACATCTATGATAGCTTCCAGTCAGGTTTTCGTAGAGCTCATTCTACTGAAACAGCTCTTCTTAGGGTCTCTAATGACCTTCTGACCCACAGTGATGCAGGGGACTGTTCTGTTCTGGTCCTGCTGGACCTGACTGCAGCCTTTGACTCTGTTACAGTCCTCCACCACCTATCTTACCCAGGGTGTCCCACAAGGTTCTGTGCTGGGGCCTCTAACTCTTCCTCCTCTATCTGCTTCCTCTTCAGCACATCCTGAGCTCCTTCAAAGGAATCTCCTACCATCTTTACGCAGATGACATCCAACTGTACATCTCCTTTAAGCCCCATGAGATGTCTAAGCTGCAGCTGTTACACACCTGCTTAGACTCTATCAAAACCTGGACGGTGGGAGCTTTCTTCAGCTGAATGAAGATAAGACTGAGATCCTCATCTGTGCCCCAGACAAGCTGGTTCCCAAAGTCAGAGACTCTCTTGTGGGCCATTCCCTTCTGTACCGGGTCGGCCCGGGCCGGGTAGCGTAGGTTGTTTACATATCTGGGTGGCCTGGTATTTTTCCGGGCCAACCAAGGCTCATTCTCAGCCCTCTTCTCGAGGGGGTCTGCTTCAGGCCGACCAGGGCCAACACACCCACTGCTGACAGCAAATTCACACCAACCATTAGAGCAAGCCTCTGATTGGTGGGTAGAATCAGCCCACATGGGCTTAAGGCAAGGATGTGTGGAATCAACCGGGCCAGGCTGGGGCCGACTGGGGCTACCCGGCCCGGGCCGACCCGGTACAGATGGGAATGGCCCATTAGTGAGCTTGCTTCTCTCACCAAACCTTCTGTCAGGAATCTTGGCGTGACCTTTGACCCAGCTCTCACCCTGGATTCTCATGTCAGTTCTCTTGTTGGCTCTTCCTTCTTCCATCTCAGGAACGTTGCTAAGCTGAGTCCCATTCTGTCCCGCTCTGAACTTGAGACAGTTCTCCACACCTTCATCTCCTCACGCTTAGACTACTGTAACTCTCTTTTCACGTGTCTGAGCAGAACCTCCCTGAACCGTCTACAGGTGGTTCAGAACGCCTGTGCTCGGCTTCTGACCAAGTCCTCCAAACACACCCACATCACCCCGCTTCTCCTCCAGCTTCACTGGCTGCCAGCCAACTTCAGGGTTCATTTCAAGATCCCGGGGCCTCATTTATCAACCGTACTTATGCACAAATCTGTGCATAGGAATTAATTTATGCATTGTGTGGTATTCATCATTTTGAACCTGTGCATGAAAATGTTCCTAAATATAAGAAGACTTTAGACCATGCGTAGGAACAGCATCTGGTGGAACGAAGGAACCGCAACACTGACTTGTCTCAGTCATCCACTAATTATTTTACCCAACAAATGTTTATTTTGGTGGAAAAAGTGCTGAGTCACATAACTGGTGCTAAAACACCCCACAGAAATTTGACATTGTAGGATGGATTTCATGTTTTTTGTAATCGGAATGTTTACTCTTCCCATTTTTATGAGGTTCTTAATCCTTTTATTGAATTAATATTTTTTTAAATGTTAATTATATTTTTTCCTTGTGAAACACCTCGTGATTTTGCTTGAAATGCACTAAATAGAAGATCGTTTCAATATAATTTACAAATGAAGGATTTGACTCAGTGGTCTCCTTTAAAAAGCAGGTGAAGACTCACCTGTTCGCACTGGTTTTGGTGGGACCGTCTGTTGAATCTTCGTGACCAGCTTCTCTTCATGCTGTTGCTTCTGTCAAGTCTGTCTCTTCCAGGATCCTGTTCCTTTTCATGTTTAATTCACGTTTTTATGTTGCTTAGGGTTAGGGAAGTAGAACGCACAACTGATTATTTATCGAAAATAATATCATCAAATCTCCTTGACGCTGACCCACGTCTCACTTCCTGCCTGGCTCAGGGGAATTCTTTAACTTTAACATTCCTCACACAGCTTCCGGAAAAAATAGACTCTGTGGGAACGTTCTGGATCCCTGCATTCGGGTCTGCACCACAGCTGGTGTAAATACTCTGATTGGGCTCAGTGGTTTCTAATGCATGTGAAACTGGACTGTATCCATTCTGGATTCAGTGTGATCAAGGCTTCAGGCCCTCTTTCTCTTCTTTTTATATTTGTCAAAATTACTGGTTTTGAATATTGTCACATATGAATAGAAGCCGAATGAATACTTCTAAAATGGATAGAAAACCAGTTAAAGAACATTTAATATTAAAAACATTTTAAAAAATTAAAAAATACCTTTCAAGTAGTTTTTATGTTGTGTTATGATTCATTCTTCAAACATCACAACAAAAAATGCTCATAAAATTAATAAAGACGAAGATATTTGAATAAAATACAAGCGAAATGTGATGAAAACACAAAATTCTAGTTTATAAAAACAGAAATAACATTTCTACTACTTTCCTGATTCACTGAATCACTTCATGTTTTTAGTTTTCTCATAGATGTTAAGTGTTGCTTCACTAGTGAATAACTGCAGGTAAAATGATGCTTTGCTATGTTTTATGTCATCAATATTAAATAATGTTGGAGATTTGTTATTTTTCTCTGCCCATGGTTGATCAGCGGGTCTGGGGTTAATAGAGGTCAGACTCGTGGCGTGCACCGGCCATATGGGGTGAGAGAGACCAAAGCCCCCTTCAGACCGGCCATGAAAAACGGAAACGTTCAGGACTCTGTCCGTGAGACCTTTGTGTCGGAATACAAACATCCGGATAATGTTTTCCGTAATTAAACTGGACAAAGCCCCTAGTAACAGGCCACGGACAGGGTGGCTGCTTCAGACTGTTGAGGTCGAGTTCCGGACAGGGAGGAGGGAGAGGAGGCAGGGTATCTGCAGGTCCTTAAAAAGTCTTAAATTAGCTTTTCCAAATTTAAGGCCTTAAAAATCCTTAAAAAATACAAATAATCCTTAAATAGTTTTCAAAAGTCTTAAATTACCAAAGACCCAATAAACAAGATTCTTTTATTTCTATAAAATTTTCGTGAATTTCTAGTTAGTGTTCAGCATTTTTTGTGTATGGTATTGGCGTAAGCGGAACCGTACACGTTCGGTTGGTTGTGAAAGGGGGCTATTTTTAGATGAGCACGTTAAGCTAGTGGGAGTTTGCGCCATGGGGAAGTGCAACATTAATGGTAACTGGATGGCTAATCCCACATTCACGACGTGGTTAGCACCGGTTCCAGGCAATAGCTGGAAATTATAGCTTAAATTTGGTCCAAGTGGCCTTAAAAAAGGTCTTAAAAAGTCTTAAATTTGGCTCCCTTAAACCTGCAGATACCCTGAGGAGGTGGGGACCGGGGGACACTGTGCGCACCTAGATAGCTCGCTCCTGTAGCATGCAGCGAACCATGGCAGCTCGCCTCCTACGGTACCATCTAGACGCACGACGGAGCGCTTCACACCGCTTCCGTGATTCCTTTAACCATTGAGCTTCATCATCCAGGTCTCTTATGCGTCTTCGTGTGCGCAGAATTATGCTTAACATAAGTCCGATCAGTGAGAAGAATTATATCTCTTCGTCTGCCATGTTTGACTGAATGGCTTTGTTTGGGTACATCACACATGTACGCCCGCCGCACCATGTTTACGCAATATCTGGGTACAGCCTTCCCACCCCCTCCCCCTCAGACATCTGGAACTTTTCCCTGCCGTGTGAAGGCAGCCGAAAGGACAAGTTCAGGTACAAAAGTGGCGTGTCTGAAAACACAGTTCTGGTTAAAAACCGGACTGAATTGTCCGCACATATTCCAGAATGTCAATCTGAAAAGGGTTCAAGAGAGAGAGAAGCTGTACAAAACTTGAGTGTTAGTAATGGGAGAAACAGCTGCGGATGGAAAATTGTTCAAACTAAATCATCACTGGAGACATCCGAAAGTTTGGAAGTCTGTGAGTTTATAGTGTGGGGTATGCGTACCCCTGGTTTTGGAATCACTGGCCTAAGCCATGAGCCCCATCATGCCATCAGTGTTGCTCAGCATGGTCATCTCTTGTATAGCTGTATCCTGATCAGGTTTCAGAGAGAGGACCAGAGCTGGCTGTGGCGTTAGAGCAGAATCACTAGGAACTTAAAGAACATGGTGAACGAGACGCAGGACAAACAAAGGCAGGAATCATCTTTTTACCAACCTCACCATGCCCCAGCCAAGTTCCAGTTGTTTGGGACAGGGACACTGCAACTACACCACTAACATACAGTTTTAACTGACTCTGACTGGTTGTTTTATAGCATGATGCAGAAAATAGGTGAGCTGTAATGTGTTTGTAACTACATGCATGGACGTAATTTTGGGGGGGACAGGGGGGACATGTCCCCCCCCCCCACTTTTTCCAAAGTCAAGTTTTGACCCCTGCACTTTTTACCATCCAAAAACAATATTACGCTATATTAAAATGACACTGGTTGAGCTCTAGGACCAAGAGGGAAAACAACCGTTTGTGTTGAAGCCTGTTTCCCATTAGAGCATACTGTAAAGACCCCCCCCGTGTCCCCCCCACTTCTAAAGTGAAAATTACGCCCATGACTACATGTGAAAATTCTCTAGCTTTGGTCACATGGTTGGAACATGAAGATTCCAAAACAAAGTTCACACTAACGGGTGATCGTGTATTTATTCCGTTTTAATTAGATAGCAGCAAGCACAGAAAAGTGACTCCAGACTTACCCAAAAAACGGGGGTTGTCTTTGTGAAGCTACATAAGCTGCCATGCTAATACCATCTTTCCAGAGGAGACTTCAGCCACTAACTGCATGTAATACAATAACACAGCTTCCAGTAAAGATTCTGGCTTCTACGTCCATTAACATACAAACTGTTTAGTTGAAATATGTAATATGTCTCTTTTTTTCAGCGTTGAATTGAAATTAAAAGTAGATCAAGTCTTGTGTTTTTCTGAATGTTTCCCTCTGTATATATGCCATGATGGAGCCCTGAATGTGTAGGTAGGTTGGGTTGATTAGAGAACAAGTCTGAAAGTGAATTAAAGCTTAAAGGTTTGGTCTGGAGAAAGCATTGTTTTGTCATGAAGTGAAACTTTAAAGTTATTGCATTTGTGTGAAATCACTTTCTTTTAATAAATGGTACATTTGTTAAACATGCAAATATATATTCCAGGTTCCTGAGTAGAATTCCAAACATGTTGAACACGTTGGTTTGTATTTCCTGTTGTGGTAAAGCTGCTGCAATAATGTACAGTGATCCCTCGCTACTTCGCGGTTCGTTTATCGCGGATTCACGACTTCGCGGATTTTTCTTTGGAGCCTTATTCAAGGGAAATTCGCTGATTCGTAGCATTTTTCTATGCAAAATATCAAGAAATTCCTGTTTATTTTCCATCGATTTCATCATAAAATGCACTTTTTGTAATAAAACTATAAAAAAACCAAGTAAAACAATTTTTTTCTTGAGTTTTACCCACAAAAAGAGAATGTGATCATACAATAATTCAATATAGTACTGTTTGTCAGACTGGTCGGCTGGATTCGGGAGTTGAGCTTGTAGGGAGCGTGGTTTCACAGACGCGGAAGTGATAGCGTCGGTGAAACGCCGGCTAACGATTAATCTAGGAAACCCCCGAGCGTTCGAGCGTCAACGAAGTGACACGGAAATGCTGGGCTTTCCAGAAGTAAGTAAGATAACTTACTATGAGCTGATAGTTCGTGGGATGGATCGGTAGGTTGGAAACTCTGATCATGAATCTGAAGAAACGATGACTGAGTGGTGAGCTGGAAAGGCGACTTCTGTTTATAGCCGCGGTTTGTGACGTAGGTGCGACATGGAGGGAATCCCAGTGAGGGGCATGCTGGGAGTTGTGGTCCACAGTGGAGGCCGGCTAGCTGGAAGACGCTGGTCTGGGAACTTGGGTTCTGACACTGTACTGTAAATATGGTGTCCCTACTTCGCGGATTTTCACCTATCGCGGCCAGGTCTGGAACGCATCTACCACGATAAACGAGGGATCACTGTATGCCTTCTTGCATTCCCGGCTTATGCTGTGGGCTTTGCTCGGCCCAGCCATCTTTTTTCCATCTTTTGTCCACTCCTCCCCTTTCAGTGGCAGTGTGGGCAGTGGCAGCTGGCGAAAATTAGAAAGTTAGTTTTTGCAGATGCACTAACTTCATTTCACCACAAGGCAAGGCCAGATTAACCATATGGGCAACTGGGCAATTGCCCAGGGCCCACGATCTCTAAAGGGCCCAGGGCAGCAAGGGCACGAGCAAAATACTGTAGGCCTATCTGTAATCTCCCGCTTTATATTAAAGTAGTTTGACCATACGTCCTGTTTTCCCCGGACATGTCCACTTTTCACTCTCTGCCCGGGCGTCCGGACTGGGGGTTCTTGTAATTGATGAAAATGTCCGGCTTTTCATCCAGGAGCATGGATCGAATTATGGGGCAGATGGATATCCTACACATCCAGGGGAGCCGGAAAAAAGTTTTCTACCTATATTACATCATTTATGGACTCTTTTGAGCAGAGAGCGGCACAGCGTGTTGTTGCGCAGCGCTCCAGGCAGCTGCGTCCAGCGCACGGTCCATTCTCAAAGTGGCGCAACCAAAAAACTATAATTAGCACACGATCGTTCATGTCCGCACATCAAAGTCATTTTATTGTCATTTCTACCACATGTGCAAGACATACAGAGAAATGAAATTGAGTTTCAGTACACACAATTCAGAGATCAGACATAAGTGGGCAAGACACATGACAAGAATTGGT